CTAAAAAGATAGGTCTTTAATCTAGTTTTGAACTGCGAGAGTGTGTCTGAGCCTCGGACATTATCAGAAAGGCTATTCCAGAGTTTAGGAGCCATAAATGAGAAGGCTCGACCTCCTTTAGTGGACTTTGCTATTCTAAGTACTACCAGAAGCCCTGAGTTTTGAGATCTTAAAAGAGTGAGCTGGATTGTAGCGAGACAGAAGGTTGGTTTGATAAACAGGAGCTAGATTATTTAGAGCTTGATAGGTAAGAAGCTATATTATAAAATCAATACGAAAAGGAGGATGAAATTGGGGTGATATGGTCATATATTCTAGACATGTCTAGAAATCTGGCTTCCAGACAAGGGCCAAACACAGACCATATCTGGGCCAAGTCTCAGCCAAGTTAATAACTCATAACTGGGCCTGAACTGGGCCAGATAGGTTGGTGTGTCACGATTGCAATGAAATTGATAAACGCATGGAGTGATGCGCTTTAGGCACACTATGGGCACGCTTTTTCTCAAAATGACCTGATAGGTAGAATTTTTTTTCTTTATTCAAAAATGATTTAAGTGTATTTTAAATGTGGGTCAAGACTGGCCAAACTCACATGGCCCACATTTTTCATCTGGCCCAAATCTTGTGTGCCGCCTTAAAGACGGTGCCACCTCTGCCAAACCCGGGCCATGTTTGGCCCACATGCTGTATGCCAGTGCCGGATGAATGCCTGCTGTGCCAGCTTTATGCCAAATCTGGGCCAGAATTCTTTGCTACTAGGGACATTTTGTACTAGCTAAAGTTTCAGAGGTGTGTTCTGGCACAAATTAAGCCCAATGTAGGACATAGTAAAAGTATCGAGATGCAGAATCTGTGTAGGGGGGCTACTCTTGTCAAAATCTGCGAAAAGTAATCAGATAATCAATACTTGCTCCATTTCTGACATACTTTAACACATTACAACAGTTATTAAATCTTTGAGCAGGCATTGAAGGTGTGCTGGAGTATCTACTTGCGCTTTGGACGTGGAGATGTTCACCTGTGGCTTCTTCTTCAGGTGTGCTGAGCGTTTGATCTGCTTGTTTTGGCTACTCTTGCCTTGTGTGTTGGTATAGTGTGTGTTGATCTGTGTGCATTGAGATCGTCAACACTGTTTACTTTGTGTTTGTTTTGTGTTTACTTGCTTATGGTTTGTTTGACACTGATTTATGGATTGTCCACTAAACCTTGGCTGCTTGTCCATGTAAATAATTTGTAGCTAAATATTGTGAATACTAGATTGCGTTACCTTTACCAAAAATTAGTTCATCTATTGACATATACTTAAAGAGGACCTATTATGCAAAGAACACTTTTATAAATAGAGGTAAAGTTGGTTTTATATTTGCACATTCAGACTTTCCCCTTAATAATATAATTTCATAAAAGTATTATTTCCAAACTCCAAATAGCAAAATCATATTAGCAGCCAATGACTATCAAAGTACAACATTCCCTAGTAGCAAAGAATTCTGGCCCAGATTTGGCATAAAGCTGGCACAGCAGGCATTTATCCGGCACTGGCATACAGCATGTGGGCCAAACATGGCTCGGGTTTGGCAGAGGTGGCCCCGTCTTTAAGGCGGTACACAAGATTTGGGCCAGATGAAAAATGTAGTATTTGGCCCAGATTTAAAAATTTGATAAGTGGGCCATGTGAGTTTGGCCAGTCTTGACCCACATTTAAAATACACTAAAATCATTGTTGAGTAAAGAAAAAAAATTCTACCAATCAGGTCACTTTGAGAAAAAGCGTGCCCATAGTGTGCCTAAAGCGCATCACTCCATGGGTTTATCAATTTCATTGCAATCGTGACACACCAACCTATCTGGCCCAGTTCAGGCCCAGTTATGAGTTATTAACTTGGCTGAGACTTGGCCCAGATATAGTCTGTGTTTGGCCCTTGTCTGGAAGCCAGATTTGGTCCAGTCATGTACCGTAATTCACTGCGGCATGTGGGCCAAGCAAAACCTGATTGTGTGGGTCAGAGCTGGGCCATAAAAAATTTTGCTATGTGGGTTGTTCACAATTAAACTAACAGTGTTAATGTTGTTTTCAAGTCATACTTGCATGCTAATTCCGATCAAATATTTAAAGTAACATGGTAAACAATATAGAGACTTCTAAATGAACGAATGTGTGAATATAAAACCAACTTTACTTCTATCTTTTATAAGGGGTTTAAACACAGTTGTGTGGCAAAAGTGTGTGTATAAAACCAGCTTTTAATAGTAAAGAATTATTACTCTACTGTCTGCAGAAACACTCTGACATTCTCCTTTTGCACGTGTCATCAGTAGTTTCATATATAACTTCATATATTATATATTTGAATTGCATTAATATATTTCTTTTGATCAACCCTATTTTGGGGTAGTTCATTATGATGGGATTTACCTTCTATGTGTGATTTGATTGGACGGGAGAGAAAGAAACGATCATCAGTCCTCTGGTCTCTTTTAAAGAAATGTTTATTTACAAACACGAATACATTTTCACCTCGGTTTGCTCACCAACATATTTATTTTCCTACACAATCAGACCATGCAGTTCGGATTAGGAATGTCCATGTTTTGCATGAACCTTCAAGTACAATTGAATATCCTACACCAGACTCGCCTCCTCCGATCCCAGGAGGTGCTTCATAAATTAATTCGACATTTACATGTACCTTCACAGTTTTGAAGTAAAAGCTCCAGTCTACGGGCAAATCAAACGTGTGTATGCACAGGATCAAGATCTAAATGCTGTAACCTGAGCTAGCTTCACATCTCATCTCCTAATGTAATTTCAGAAATGTACATCATTGAAAATAAAGTAAAACATGCACTTTAAAACAGAGAGGGTGCTCGCTGCAGAGCCACATGGGTGGAGCTCGCCTACTGTACAATGAGGGGGAGCTTGAGCTCCAGCTCATCCTCCTATGGCTGTTTTAATGCGTACACACCCCCAGTGACATCACTTGTAGAAGAGGAGGTGCAGCAAGGAGGAGCTGGAGCTCATTTCATTGATCCAATTGTCTGATAACAAGAAAAATTGCGGCTCTTTTTCAATGTTCAATGACTTTTTTTTTATACCCTCTGTGTTTAGCTGTTTCTTTCTTTTTTTTTTATTAAAGACAATTCTTGTGCCTATTTGTTGTTGTATGTATATGTTTACATTGTATATACTGTTTATGGGCTTAATAAAAAAGGAGCTGGAGCTCAGCTCTGCCCATGTGGCTCTGCAGTGAGTACCACTTGGATTAAACACGCTAGGGTAACATTCGTCCACAAGGGGGCAGACTGAAACAAAAACGATGAGGTAGAGACTAGTTTCCTTCACTTTGAGACGCATTTTGGACTCAAAAATGTCTTTGCAGCCAATTTATTTAGTAACACTTTATTTTGATGGTCAATTTGAGTATTAGACTGCTTAATATCTGCTCCTTCAACAGACATTTAACTGACTATAAGAAACTTTGAAGGTACATATCAACTTACACTAACCCTAACCTAACAGTCTACTTATAATCTAATGGGAATAAGTTGGCACGTAGTTGCAATGTAACTTAAATTCAACAAACGGACCATCAAAATAAAGTGTGACCATTTATTTTTATCCTGTGGAAGTTAACACAGGCTTTTAGACAAAATACACTTTCTTAAAGGGGTAGTTCACCCAAAAATGAACATTTTCTCACAGTTTGCTCACCCTTTAAAATATTTATAAGCTACCGTTAAACACAAAAAGGTAGATATTTGGACAAATGTTGGAAACTTTTAACAATTGTACTCCATAGTATTGTTTTTTCCAATCATGGAAGTCAATGGTTTTCAGCTTTCACTGAAACTCAATTCCTGGACGGCCGCAGCTCTGCATAGTTTAGCTCTGATCACCTCCAACTTATACTTCTGCGTCAAGTAATCGGCGTGACCCATGGCGCATGCAACACACGTAGTTGTGCATTCATACTTCTGCGCGGTTTCTGTTGCTCTGTAATTACACTTCCGAAACGCTAGTTGGCAGTGAGGTGTTAATGTTCCTCGGTGTCGAGTTTCTGGTGTTTTGTTTTTTCTGAACGCTTCCTTAATGTACAAGTAGCTCAAACTTGCCTATTTTGAGGCAGGAACCGGCGGATGTGCAACAACTTTAACTATGAGGTAAGCATAAAACAAAACTTACCATCACGGACATCCACACTTGTAAACAATCGCTCTATCGGGCTCAAACTGCTCTCGGTCCCGCCCACACTCATCAGCGCTACCAAGCCGAGCAATCACAGAGCTTGCGCTACACGTTGTTGCGATGTGTAGTACAATTTTTTGAGAGATGCGTGTCAGCGATGCCGATGGCCACAGCGAGGGCTATGCGTCCACGCGTAGGCCGCACCATGGCATAAGCGTGCGTTTGACGCATGAGCAATACTACACGAGTAGCAGTGTGATATGGCTGTATATCGGCACTGGTGTGAGGCGTGCGTTACTGCCTTAGTGCCCCCACCAGTGCCGATATACAGCCATATCGCACTGCTACGAGAGTGATACTGCGTTTATACAACAGTTTGACGGCATAATTGTGTATATAAAAACTAAATCAAACATGGAGAGTCTCAGAAACCCTTTTGTATGAGGAACTACTTTCTTCCGGATTCATATCATTAGCTGAGAGTTAAACAGTTGAGCCAGCATGTTTTAAACTTTACATCTGTAGTGTCTGCTTTTTGCTGGCTGTATGTGGGCGGAGTAATACATAAAGGGTAAAGAGGCTGTAGGAATTCTGATATTGCAGAATATCGCACGGCTATCAGCCAATCAGATTTGAGAACCAGACAGAACTGTTGTATAAAAGAGTATAAATTGGCCTTTACACCTGCATGATAGTCTCTAGTAGTCTTGAACGCCTTGGATCAGCTGTGTTCGATTAGGCTTGAGCTGCGGCCCTCCGGGAATTAAGTTTGAGAGCTATGCTGTAAACAATGCCACACAATCGATTTACATTGGGACAACATGAAAGATTTAAGTTAACTTACTAGTTTTAACATATTTAAATGGATTGAACATAAAACAATCAAGTTGTCTCAACAAAATGTCAAGAATTGTGTTGCTTTAGAACAAAAGTAGTTTGAACAAGCGACAAAAAAATAATACGAAAGAAACTCTTAAAGGCTTAAAACCCCTTTAGGGAGAGGAAATAAGTGGAAAATGTAAATTTTACATTGGTGAACTTTCCCTTTACATACTTCCAAAGAAGATTGTCAAACCAGTTTTTCTAAAAGAAGAAAAAAACATTAGGCTGAGCAAATTATTAGTTATTTTTTTGGGGGGGGTGATGTTTTTGTTTTGCAGCCTATCACTGAAAAAGATGATTGATTGGATTCACTTAACATTTCTAAGGTTAAAGCGGTTGCAAACAACTTATATGGGCTGAACGTAAAGTAAATGCAGTAATGTTCAGCTTAATTAGTTTAAATCAGCCCGTATGCAGTAGTCAACATCTAAAGTTAATTAAAAATGCTTTTCAAAATTGTCCTTGAACAAGGGTGGGTGCTGTTCAATAGTTTTAGGACAAGTTTGTTGAAAGGTGATGAACCACTTGCAATGTTGACCTCGGTAAATACTTTGTAACCACTTAACCTTAAAAAAATACCTAGTAAATCAAATAAATCATTTGTTTCAGTGTATAAATGTTGGCCAAAAGTTCCTACGAAACCCCTCACACTTCTGTCACTTTGGTACATAAATAAAATTTAAATAAAGTCTCCCCAAAAAAGGAGTACGTTGTCTTCGAGCGACCTCAAAGTTCTCGGCTTCTCCTTCAGATTCAGTCTAAGAAGTCGATTTTCTGCGAGCAGATCAAGTCACTGTTGACCAGTTTCCACATGCTCATCAGGTCCGGCGGGAGCAGTTTATGCACCACGATCAGACTCTTGAAGAAGCACGGCTCTCTGTTCAGCCGGCTGGTTTTATTCTTCACCAGCCCGAAGGTTTTGAACGCGTTATGTTTGATCGGCGTGACCTGCAGCACCTCCAAACACATCCCCAAAAACACGTCGTCAATGGGGTAAAGCTCCAGGGTTTCACAAGCTCCGTAGAGTTTCCTTGCAAGAGCGCCGTCCATCAGGAAGCCTCCGCCTCCAGCGTAGGGTGGATATAAAGTCTTGTTATACAACGCCTGCGGGATGTAGTACTTGTTCTGCTTCTTACGAATGGGCTTGGCTTTGAATAGGACATCCCCAACGAAGAGATCCTTCAAGTTTCCGCTGATCTCAAGGTACTCGAAGATATTGGGAACGCTTACAAACACATCATCGTCGCCTTTAAAGATGTATTGTGTTTTCGGGCAGTAGCTGGAGAACCATTTGAGGAAGTGGATCTCCTTGAGCGTGAGGTTGAAGAAGCTGTCCATGAAGTCCCACTGCAGGATATCCCCGTAGATGTAATCCTCATACTCCAGGAGCTTCTGGTGATTGGCGCGCTCTTCGAGATTGGAGGATTTTCCTAGGAGGAAGAGAGTCTTGATTCGTTTTCCATTGAGGACTTGCTCTTTGCCCCAAGTTTTCCGAATCACTTCCCTACGGTCGAACTGCGTAATTACGGATTTGATGACTATCAAGAGGTCGATTTCTCCAGAGCACTTCTCCGGGTGGTTGATGAGCATCGGGAAGTATCTGCAATGCCTGTAGAGGAGGAATTGCTTGAAGTTGTCCTCCAGTCCCGTGAACCACTCTTGGCTGGAGAAGTTGAGGTTGATGCTGCAGTTGGAGCTGTCCACATCCCATGTTGACGGAGCCTGTTTTAGGGTTATCCTGGAACCTTGCGTGGTGGACTGCAGCCTTTGGATGGTCTTCCAGAAGTTGACAGTCGCCTTTTTCTGCACCTCGCTGTCCGCCGTGAGCTCCATGCGAGTTTGTCTCTCGATGTGGTCGGTTTGGAAGTCCTGCAGGGATGTGAGGTTTCCGCGGTGGACTACGGTCAGGGTGACCACGGCCAGCAGGAACATCAGGCTGACGCGCTTGTAGACCCTCCAGCGCTCTCTGGTGGTCATCCTGTAGTCAGTGAGCAGAGAGGTAAACTCCATCTGCAGCATCAACACATGCACTATTTAGTATGGCATCAAATGTGTGATATTGAAACAGTGACTCTCATGCATAATCAAATATGTTGCATATAAAGTTATTTCTTAATTATTATTGTATTTTACACGGAATAATTCATTCTTATTGTTGTATTTTGCACTATCATTGTGTAGTCAGTGACCATTAACTCTTCATATCACTTTATGACTATAGCGGCCGCTTATCGACTGAACTAAATTTATTTTTGATGTCTTGGTCTATTTGGAGGGCTGGAATAAATTGCCTCGGGGGCCGGGTTTGGCCTGCGGGCCACCAGTTGAATAGCCCTGGTGTAGACTCCATCTGCGGCATGAACACATGCACCGTTTAATACCTCGAAATAGGTTCAAACGACATATAAACAGTGTGGATGCTTTCAATCTCATGCATAAGCAATATTTTTGGATGAAATTTGGTTTGCATAATCAAATGTGTCACATATCAAGTATTTTTTTTTATTTATTCTCGTCATATTTTGCATGGAATATTTTATTATTGCATTTTGCACTGTTATCATCCTGTAATCCGTGATCAGACTACATCTGTGGCATGAACACATGCACCGTTTAATACCTCGAAATGGGTTCAAATGACATGTAAACAGTGTGGATGTTTTCAATCTCATGCATAATCGCTATTTTTGGCCAACAAAATTGAGTTTGCGTAATCAAATGTGTCACATATCAAGTTTGTTTTGTTTATTATTGTTGTATTTTGCACGGCAATCCTGTAGCCAGTGATCAAACTCCATCTGCGGCATGAGCACATACGCCGTTTAATACCTCGAAATAGGTTCAAATGACAAAAAACTGAGGATTATGATTCTTATGCATAATCAAATGTGTCGCACATCAAGTATTTTTTATTTATCATTGTTGTATTTTGCATGGAATATTTTATTATTGTTGTATTTTGCACTGCCATCCTTAAGTCACTGATTAGAGATGTACATTAACACATGCACCATTTTAATACCTCAAAATGGGTTCAAATGACGTATAAACTGTGGATGTTTGTTTTAAATCTCATGCACAATCTACATTTTTTGATGAAATTTTGTTTGTATAATCAAATGTGTTTCACATCAAGTATTTTTTATTTATTATTGTTGTATTTTGCATGGAATAATTGCATTTATTTGAGTATAAAACACGGAAAGTGATATATATTTCTACAGTGTGTGTGTTAGATTAAGGATTACATTTTGTGTAACTTTTAACACAGCGTGTTGAAGTATTTTAAATCAAGTGGAACTGAAAAGTAACCAATATTTACCAGCGAAATTTGGTTTGCATGATCAAATGTGTCGCACACCTAGGTTTTTATTATTGTTGTATTTTGCATAGAATAATTGCATTTTTTTGAATATATAGATGTTTAATAATACTCTACAGTTAATGTGATGATGCATTTGGATCAATCTTCAGATTTAAATGATATTTTTGCAGAATATATAATGAAATCAGTCTATTATTCAGTCATAAATAGCTGTATAATCAGTTTAATAACTATAGACTTTACATTTCGAATCAAAATAGTTATTATTTAATTAATTATATTGATTAAGCAAAGCTTTAATAACGGAACAATATATTTACATTTTGTTCAAATTGAATATGAGAATCGATCTGAAACGGACATGTATGACTACTATTGGTAAGACTTTATTTTGATGGTCCTTATTTCACATTTTATTGACTAAAAGTTGCATTCTACATGCCAATTTCTTCTCATTTGAGTATTAGAAGACAGTCTGCTTAATATCTGCTGATACTGCTCCGTCAATAGACATTTAACTGACTATAAGAAACTTTGCAAGTACATATCAACTTACACTAACCCTAACTTAGTCTACTAAACTTCTTAACAAATCTACTACTTAACTATACCACTTAACATCTTAACAAGTACTTCACTATACTACTTAACATCTATTGACAATTAGTTGGCATGTACAGTAAATGCAATGTACCTTAAATTCAACAAAATGCGTTAAAGGGACCATCAAAATAAAGTGATACCCTAATATTGTTTGTACCCAAAGACATAACACTGTTTTCATACAATAAGCCTTTATCATTTCGCATGGGTCACTTTAATAACCTGAATGTTATATTATATTATTATGTAAATAAACCTGTTGATGCGAGTGGACTTGGTTCTATGTCAGTGTTTTACGGCTCTGAGGTCTGCATTTAAATAAAGCAAACCACACATGCTGATGCTTTCTTCCTTACATCCACATGATCATAGATAATATGAATATTGTCATAATAATATTTTAAAATGTTGACAACTGTAACTAAGCTTGTTGTGATGTAGCCTAGGTAACGTGATGACAATTCATAAGAGGAGATCGTTTTATGAATATAAATATTATTAATAACAATAACATAAAAATAAGCATAAATGAAATATTGACAATAACATAATTGTAACGAAACAAAAAGAGGAAGAACTTATACTCACATTTTGAGAGATGTTCTTATCAGAGTGTTACTTTAATAAAAGCCAAACAGCTCTGCCGCTCTTCAGATGAATTATAAAGTTTCCTTTAGAATATCCTGCTCATGATTTCAAGGCGAGACGAAACAAAAATGCCACAATAGACGATTGTTATAACTCCACCACGGAGTTTCACTTCAAGATGTGAAAAGCGCGACATCCTTGACGTGCACTGCTTTTAAAGTGTGTCCGCGTCACATGCAAATGAGGAGGCAGATGACTCCGCCCACTTTCTCTCGCCCCGCTTTCTCTCTCTCTCTCTCTCTCTCTCTCTCTCTCTCTCTCTCTCTCTCTCTCTCTCTCTCAATTCAATTCAATAATTGCTTTATTGGTATGACAATGGTTACAAATGTATTGCCAAAATAGTTATAAAGTTTACATAAAAAGTAACATACATATATATTAATAAAAAAAACAGTACACACAGTAAATAGTAGTAGTAGCAAAAAAAAAAAAATAATTAAATAAATAAATAAATAAAAAGGGAAACATATGATATTTATATATAATAAATAAATAAAATATCAACAATACATCATATTATTCAACATATCACATGAATATTCAATATATTATATTATTATTCAACATTACTTATTCCTACAATTCAATACAAAAATAGATCTGAATAAACTGTACATTTTTAGGATAAAACATTAATAAAAACAATAATAATCAGTATATTTACAATGATATTTACTCTCTCTGTTTGTAACAGGCATTAATGTATTGTGCCGCTAGAAGGACACACTCATGTTTTTCCCCTAGTAAATATTGAAGCTGTTGTATTGTATAACTCAGTGAATTGTGGGTAAATGCTCTGTAGTTTGGTGTTGAATATTTCCCGGATGTGCTGATAGTTTGTGTCAGGAAGTGTTCCTCCGTCTGCACCTCTGCCTGGGCACAGTGTGGGCAGATGCGGCTCTCTCTGGGTTGCCAGTTCTGTCTGTATCAGCCCGTCTCTACAGTCAGACTGTGAGCACTCAGCCTGTATTTGCTCATTGTTGTTCTTAGTTTACTGTCCTTTACTGCACTCAGATATGTTGCTGTGGTATAATCTCTAGGTCTAAATAACGTTTACTTTGTTTCCCGGCTGCTTCATTCCAGTAAATCAGATACTCTTTTCGTGCATTTATTATTTGATTGGGCTTAATTTTGTGGATGAGCATGTCCAATTCCACTATAGCTCATGTGTTTGGACTGTGGGGGAAACCGGAGCACGCGGAGGAAACCCACGCCAACATGGGGAGAACATGCAAACTCCATATAGAAATGCCAACTGGCCCAGTCGAGGCTCGAGCCTTACCTTCTTAAAGTGAGGTGACCGTGCTAGCCACTGCGCCATCGTGACACCGTTTTACATAACAATGCTCAAATAAGAAATGCAAAGCTGGACGTTACTCTTGTAAATGCATGCATGCAACTTCATCAGAAACGATGCAAATTGGAGCTCAGCGGCTTTATGTAAACCTGTGGACACCTCTGCACACTCTTCAAAAGGATTCACAGCATGCTTTACTTCCTTAACACACCAATGCGTTTGTGTTACTTTTAACTCAGCCAGTGGGTTCGTTTTAACGCAAACATACGTTAAAGTGTTCAAATATTTGAAATCCACTAGAACTGGACATTTGTGAGCACGTGCGGTTACACAGGAGTCAAAATCAACACACGCTGTCTTTCATCATGCACTGCAAAAACGTCTGCAAATTACAGGATACATGTAGTTTCCCCCATTTATTCATGCGTTTGAATGGTATTATTGGAGCTTGATCTTTTTTCCAACAACTTTTAATCTTGAAAAGTTGGAAAAAGTGACCATTTTGAACATTGTTAATAGTTTATGGTGATATATAGTCTGGGTTGGTGTTGGATATCACGCTACAAAAACCTTGAAATAAGCCGCCAGCACATTCCCTGTTATTATACTGTTCTAAAAATGGTCCACATCGTTAAAGAATAGCAAAGTTCACACCACAACTACACTACCTGGCCTTAATAACATTAATAATTAAAGCTGCAAGCAGCGATGAAAGGGACCTTGCACTGGGCTCACCCCCACCGGTGGCCTTAGGATGACAGAGAACAGCTACCAATATTAATTTAAGCCGATATATATATAAAAAACCTGAGAAAATCACAGATTTACACCAAACTTTCTTCTGTCAGCAGGTGGCGCTATGACTGTGACTCAATATTGGCATGTAGATGCCTTCAGGAGAGGAATCTTATCGAACATGTGAAGTTTCAGGCAGGTCAGACATTGTTTGGCCGAGTTATAAGCCAAACTACCTTCTGTCAGCAGGTGGCGCTATGACTGTGACTCAATATTGGCATGTAGATGTGTTCAGGAGAGGAATCTTATCGAACATGTGAAGTTTCAGGCAGGTCAGACATTGTTTGGCCGAGTTATAAGCCAAACTACCTTCTGTCAGCAGGTGGCGCTATGACTGTGACTCAATATTGGCATGTAGATGTGTTCAGGAGAGGAATCTTATTGAACGTGAATTTTCAGGCAGATCAAATATTGTTTGGTTGAGTTATAAGTAATTTACTGTTGCCAGCAGGTGGTGCTATAACTAACGGATATTGGCATGTAAACATGTTCAGGTCAGGATTCTTATTAAATGTGATTTTAAGGCAGACCGGAAAATGCATGCCTGAGTTAAAACAGCTTTCTGTTTCGTGGCGAATTGTCGAAGTTTGCGAGGCCACCCCGGACACGCCCCACAACGAAAACTAGATCTTCACAATATATCATCACTAAAGCTTTCAGATGACACCACCCAAATTTGGTACGATAAAATTTGTGGGAGGAGTTTTTTATACTGTAAAACATGTCATTTTCTGTTGCCAGCTGGTGGCGCTATAACTGTATCTGGGTATTGGCATGTAAACGTGTTCAGGTCAGGACTGTTATTAAACTTGTAAATTTTAAGGCAGATCGGATAATGCATGCATGAGTTATAACGACTTCCTGTTTCATGGCGAATCGTCAAAGTTTGCGCGGCCGCCACGGACACGCCCATCGATGAAAACTCTAAATTTTCACAATTTAACATCGCCAAGGCCTTTATATGACAAACCCAATTTTGGTGTTGATCAGATAAAATCCCTTGGAGGAGTTCGTTAAAATACGACGCCTGGAAATGGCAAAAATGCCACTTTTTTGACGCAGCAAGTTAAAAATATCTGACTTCCTGTTGGGTTTGAGATTCCACTCCAAGAGGCTTTTTTGTAGGTTTTGGCGCGTTTGGGGTGTGTGTAAATTTTCGTACGAGTGCATGATTCGTAGCTTGGAGGCCAGCCCGTCAAAAGTGGCGCTGTCGAGTCATTTTGCCACGCCCATTTCCCATAACAAATGTAAATTTTCGCCACTTCTGGGGTGTGTGCAAAGTTTCGTGGGTTTTCGGGCATGTTTAGCCCTTCAAAATCACGATTCATTCCTCGGAAGAATCAGATTAATAATAATAAACGGAGCAATTCCAATAGGGCCTACGCACCGCTTCGGTGCTCGGTCAATAATAATAATATAATAACGTATTGATAACTTGACTTCTAGTTGAGCATTTGGTATCAGAAGTAGGGCTGGGCGATCTGGCAAAAAAAAATGATTGAAAATGAAAATTTTTTTCATATCAGTCGACGGTAAAATAACCAGCCTTTATAAAGGACGTAATCACCAAGGAGAAATCAAATGCTCAAGACGTTATCTTTAAAACAATGACTTATTAAAAATGCAGCAAATCTATGACAGACGTTTACAACAGTGGATCATTAATTAAATCCTTTTTTTCCCCACGAGTGAAAAATCATTCACAGGCACGAACAAAGAATATATACACTAAATGTATACAAAATATATATTTTTCCCTAGAAATGTATCTTTTTGCAGCAAATTTAATTTTGTATAATGTGTATCTTAATTTTAATGTATTTTTTCTTGGTCAGTTATCTAACATAAGCAAGAAGAACAAATAACATCTTTTTTTCTTACTCCTCCAAGTGCAACAAACACGGTATAGGCCCATGCACACCGAGGTGTTTTTTGCTCGCATTTTGCATCGACGTTAAACAGCTCGAGACTAAATAAAGGGCGCCAATGTGATCGTGCGCACCAACGCGCAAAACGCCAGGCGTAAAAACGTTATTTAAAAAAAAAAAAAAAAACCGCCTCATTCTCGTTTTTTTTGTTTTGATGCACCACTTCTAAACCTTCTCCACCAATCAGGTTGCCCAATTTATTAAGTAAATTTATTGTTTATTAAGTGAATTTTCTTGTTTATTTATGATTTGGTTTTCATCAATATTGCCCTCTCTTCCTTTCTCATATTATATTATAAGGGTGGTTATATTTCTCCATAATATCAAATGCTAAAAAACTGCTAAGAAACTCTCTAAGATCAGACTACGAGAACTGCCATGCAACAAAACAATCAACTTTCTAATCTTCGGTCAGGATCTCGAGAAAGCCATCTGGACAGCTGACCCATGACCTATCCTCAGGCCCTCCTGCCCTCCCCAGTTATACAGCCTGAGTCATTGAAAAGTTACTCAGGAATGACCTGATTTTCCAGAAGTGGCGAGGATGTGTCCGTGAGCAGATGTTACTGGCCATCATACTGACCCTAAGCGACTTTGGTATGAACTATTAACTGTAAATAAGGATTTATTGGGTTAATCAATCTAAACTAGACCTAATCACAACCTATATGGTGATCAGCTTGAATTGGATGATGCTATTTTTATTGATTATGAATTGGAGATAAGAATAAGGGTCAAAATTAGATTCATAAAACAAAAGGTTAATCATTTTTAGTGATCTGTTCACAGCTGCGCGAGAAAACACCCTCACATCCCCACATCCCATCATCCAACATCAGAACCATTGGGTGGGACTTTCAATATGCAACACAAAATGTGTGTCGTTTCAGCTAAACTTACATAAGGATTTACGAACTGACGCATAAGTAAACTCTCAGAAGCTTGTGCGTCAAACACTTTCTTCCCATGCTGATTGTGTAATTGTCTGTGTGCCTTAAGCTTCGGTAAATACAATTGTTTGAATCAACAGAAAAAAAAGAATAGGATAAACTCAGTCTTATGCAAAACTTGCGTCATTTTGACTTTCAGCT